AGAGACCTTCGATATAAAAGGAGAACCCCATCTGTATGGAATGACGGTTATTTTAGCCTCCTAACTGTAAACAAGCATGCGGTATAAAAAAAGCCCCTACATAACCTACTCTGGTCCGCCACAACGGCAACGTTTTCTTCCAAGGGGCACATAACGTTGCTAATATTGGGATTTCAGTCAACTGAAACTTGAAGGAAAAGTAGCTTATGGGTGCTGAAAGCATAATGTAATTCTTGACTTGTCTAAAGCTCTTGAGCGCGATATATATATATATATGCAATGCCCGACTCAAATACGTTTTTTTCGATTGGAGGGTTGAACATGTCACGAGCCGTGAATCAAAATGCACCAACTTTTAAGGGTAAACAAAATTCACTAGCCCCTAGGGAAACAACGACCTGACTTTCAACTCTCACGTGATAAGGTCGTTCACCGTGAAACCGCAGCAAATGTGTGCGTCAGCCTGCGTACAAAAAAATAATTTTTTGCAGTCATTTTTGTGTTGAGATGTATGAGAAAATACTAAAAAAAATGAAAATTAAAGTGACTGGCTCCACGGGAAACAGTGAGGACTGCTTTCTCTTGCCCTGCAAAACTCGTTGTTTCCCTTGGAGTCAGTCATTAGTCACTTATTTTACCAACTTTGCCAGATGTCTGTATTAGAATTTTCTGGATGCGAAAGTAAATAATATCAGCAGTGTAGCTAGAGTGCAAAAGATGAGAAAATAGTTAGAGCATCGAAGAAATAAATATTTCTTAGCATATTGGCTTCGGTTATCAGATTTTTGGATCCGTGCGCGGGTCTGAAAAAGGAACACATAACTACATGTATGGTACGGCAGATATATCTACAAATTGTGACTCATAAATGTACGAGTTACAACTTGAGAGGCAATTCTGTCAGTTTTCATCTCTCTCTGTTGCATCCCATTACATCCTGTTTGCTGTTTTTCATTAGGCGAATTTAGCTTTGTTTGGTGGGGAAAAGTTGTTATGGATCCCAAATGCGACTAATTGATACTCATAAAGGGTGCAAGACAAAAGAAGTCCGGATATTAAAAAGAATCCGAATAATCGAGGTTTTTCTCAATTAAAGTCAAACGCCCCCACGTTTTACTCGAATGTAAAGAACCACTAAGCCCCCCGGGAAAACAACAAATTGAACTTTCAACTCTCACGTGATAATGTGTGTGCCAGCCTGCGTACAAAAAGTAAATTTTGGCAGTCATATTCGAGTTGGGAGGTATGAGAAAATACTTTAAAGATTAAAATGACTGGCCTCACGGGAAACAATGAGGATTGCCCCGCAATGGAAACGAAACTCATTGTTTCCCATGGAGTCAGTCATTAGTCACTTATTTTACCAACTTTGCCAGATGTCTGTATTAGAATTGTCTGGAAGCGAAAGTAAACAATATTAGCAGGGTAGCTAGAGTGCAAAAGATGAGAGAATAATCAGAGCATCTAAAGAAATAAATGTTTCTTAGCATATTAGCTTCGGTTATCAGATTTAACGTGCACGGAATGGTATGGCAGATATACCTACAAATTGTGACTATTTAAATGTATATAAATGTACGAGTCAGAACTTAGGAAGAAATTCTGTCAGTTTTCATTTCTGAAAAAACTTTTTAAGTTGAAATTACACCCTGCAGCTCTTTTCCATTAGGCGGATTTAGCTTTGTTTGGTGGGAAAAAGTTGTTATGGATCCCAAATGCGACTTATTGATACTCATAAAGGGTGCAGGACAAAACAAGTTCGGATAATAAAAAGAATCCGAATAATCGCGGTTTTTCTCTATTAAAGTCAAACGCCCCCACGTTTTACTCGAATGTAAAGAGTCGGTAAAACGAGTCGTGATCAGTACTTCGTGCAAAACTGACCCATGCATAATTTATGTATGAGTTCTCAAGCTGTTTCTATTCATTTCTATAATTTTCATTGTTACCCAAGGTTCATTAAAATTGTATGAAAAGTTTATAAAAAAGTTTTTCAATACAAAAATACGAGAGAAGCGGAAAGAAACTGAAGGTAAGAATATACTGGTTTCAAGGAGTAACCAAGTCATTCAATTTGGAGAAAATTGGTTAATTTAAACTTCAGAAGAAAATTGCTCTCTAACTTTGACAACAACATAAATCTTGAATAGTCAGCCGCTTCGATAAATACGTTTGAGTGAGAAGTATATATACAAAAGACCTTTACTACCGCATAAACGTGAGAAGGAAAGTCGAGGAAAAGTAAGAAAAGGAAGGTGAGTGTGAGTGAGAAACTCGATGTATTTACTTACTATCGGGTGAGTAACTTGTGCAAGTCAGCGGACAAGAATTAATCCTTAGCAGGGAAGATTCCTTTATATGACTTGGTAGTTTAAAAAGCGCTCGTATTCTTTCGCTGAGTCAGACAAAGTGTAATTAACAAAACCCTAAATTCACAATCAAAACTATTTGTTGCATCTAAGAAGGGAGAAGGGCAACATTTGTCATCTGTTTTTCTTTCTTTCTCAAATTACAGGATGAGAGGGCTTCTAGTTGGTTTCCATTTCTGTCCCGTTCTGTTGAGTGGTGTTGCTTTGTTTCTTGTGGCTTTCAGTTCGTCTTTGCACACTGACTTGAGCAGGGACGAGGTTTTCGAGAGAGTTGAAGGTAACACGTGAATGTGTTATACCTCCCAACACAGTGATATTTTTTTCCGACGGGATGTGAATGTTTCAAGTGCCATGGGCGAAAACTCGGATCGGATGACACAGATTTTGGCTGTGTCACGATAAACTTTACATGATCCCCCCCCCCCCCCCCAAATAAGGCTCTGTGACATTCTTACAATCCCCCTCATTGGTAGTAAATCTCCATTCTTCCCCCTTTATACTCTGTTGGCCACAGCAGTTCGCCCCCCAAAAAAATATGAGATCGCCCCAAAATCGGGTAAAAACAACAGGAACTTTCTACGCGCAACTCTCATAACTCTCAGGGCTTCTTCATATTCACCTTTGAACGATATCAAGAATCAAGATGACCTCTTAAGACAGGGTAATTAACTACACACAAACTGTGTTATTAAAGTATCCAAAAAAAATTGAGTGATGAGAACATGAAACACGATTGTGTTGTTTTTCAAGGATTTGAGCTAATTGGTCACATCACCAAGACATTATATGCTGACGAAATAAGCTGTGGATTGAGATGCCTTCAAGATGAAAACTGCCAATCTTACAACAGCAAATCCGATGCTAATGATGCAAAGAAGGAATGTCAACTGAGTAATCAAACCAAAAAATCAAGTCCGGAAAACCTGAGGCGTAACCCACGTTCTACTTATTATCATGGAAGAGGTACTGTTGAGTAAGGTGCTTAACATTATGGAAAAGTTAGTGGAGGTGGGAGGGGGGGTATGAAGGGTCGGAGTATTTTGGTTGTCACAATAAAGTTTTCCTGATCCTTCCATAACGTTCCGAATTATTCTATCGATCTTCCTCATTGGCCGCCAATTTTCTTTAGTCCCACCTTTAAACTCTGTTAGCGACCACTGATCCCCTCTCCATTCCCTTTGAAAACAATGATATCCCCCCCAAGACCCTGCCACCCCTCCCACCCCCTCTTTCCAAGTCAAAAATGGTGACCTATTTCTTACTTCTGATTAGCGCTTTTCAGAGCTCTCTCATGTCACGTGTACATCCATGTATAATCTTTCCCGAGAGAATATGAAGTTAAAAATCTCTTGCTTTTCCTTATAATGACAAGTTTTCCATTTTCTTAGTTTGAATTAAAGGATGCTTAAATTTCCAAAATCAAGAGCTATCTAATAATTACACGAAAGGAACTACTGATGGAATAAGACCTCTGTGGCGTGTTTTGTTTCTTAGTTTGATCCTCTCCTCGTTCCAAATGATTACTCTTCACTCCAAAGGTAAACGAGGTTGGGATTCTGCTCATCCGGCCTTTTCCTGTAAAGAAATTCTGGACTCTGGACACTCCAAAGGAGACGGGGAGTATTGGATCGACCCTGAGAAGAGTGGAAACCCTTTGAAGGTCTATTGTGACATGTCAAGATATGGTGGTAAGAGAATGAATTTTTTTTTTGAGACACGAGGACCTCAACAGGAGTATATTTGACTTGGAGCATTTTCTATTTGAACGTTCTGGTCTTGGCTATTCTTGCTTTCTTAACAAAGATCCTTCTTATGTTTTGAATCAAAACTACAGCAGAATTCTCGAAAGTGATTGGTTATCATCAGCCAGCCGATTTGAACACTAATAGGACAGTGTACACGTCATATTTGTAATTGAACAGTGTAATAGGATCGTTAAAGGGACAGTTAACGCGTCATGCCTGTGTGAGTGGACAGAACGCGTCATGTGCGCGCTGTTGTCTCGCATTTCGCCGAGTAAACTGTTGTTTTTCGTTTTTATGAAAACGTATAACCGATGTCTAGTTTCTTTCTCAAATTTTGTCATAGTTTTGATTAATTGGTAACAGGCCTTCTTGTCGTCCAATTCTGTCTGTAATGATACGAGTGATTAACAAATCGGACTCCCGCTTTGCGGTCGTACGATTCTGTAAATCACTCGTATGATTACAGACCCAATTGGACTCCACTCGGTCCTGTTACCATTTAATATGTCCAAAATTCTAGTTACATGGATGTCACCAGATCATTTAGGTTTGTTTTATTTTAGGAGGTTGGCTTCTGGTGTCAAATGTTGAGTTCGGAAGTCCCTCTCCTAAGGTGTCAGTTGAGACATCATACCGTGGAATAGGTAAGTCACACATGGTTCTGCAGAAAAGTGCCATGAAAGAGCTCAGAAGACACTTGTCCTTCACTCAGCTGAGATTCCACTGCCGCAAGAAACAGGGACGCACATTCCACGTGGTCACAGCTTCCAACAGCTCAGGTGAAGCTGTGGTCCGGTACTTCAGCGGTCAGACAGATGAGCAACCGGACGCCTGTGGTTCGTTTGTGAGATTGACGTTGGATGACAATTCCGAGTTAGCTGGCATTTGCAAAGATTGGGGTCGACAAGTAAGTGGAGAGTACTTAGTTGGAAAGTGGGGACATGGTGAAGATCAAAACAGGCTATACCGGTTTCCCGTCTTCAAAAGAAACAAGTATCACCTTAGGGTCCAACTGCATAACGTTGACGACCTCAAAAAAATGGAATGTGATGATGGCACTGGTACCAATGATGACACAAACGGCGATTTCTGGAGAGTCTTTGTTCGTTAGTTGCGTCTATCTGTACACCAAGCAACCCTTGACTGTGCGAATAACAGTAACAAACGAATAAAGCAAAATAAAGACAAATGCACCGTTACACTCATCAGGTTATAAGATTGTTTTTGTTTCCATTTCGGGGCAAGGGAAAGCAATCCTCATTGTTTCCCGTGGGGCCAGTCATTTTAATTTTTATTTTTGAAAATATTTTCTCATACATCCCAAACCGAATATGACTGCCAAAAATCACTTTTTGTACGTAGGCTGGCACACACATTTGCCGCGGTTTCACGGTGAACAACCTTATCGCGCGAGAGTCGAAAGTTAAAGTTGTTGTCTCCTCGGGGGCTTAGAGAATTTTGTTCACCCTAGAAAGTTAATGTATTTTGATTCACGGCGCGTGACATATTCAACCATCCAATCAAAAAACCTATTTGAGTTGAGAGATACATAACGATTAAATTTTCACAACTGCTTAAATAAAAGGTTGAACTAGTGACCACGTCAACCTCAACGTTAAGTTGAAGGACTCTAAACATGATTGGCTAGTTGATCGGATCGCGAGCGTCGCACGTGAATACTAAAAATTCCAGAGGAAGAGGAAAGGACACTTTGCAGTTCGAAAAAAACTCACTACTGACACAAGAAAATTTCAACGACCTGTTTGATATGGCGGGAAGCCATTGAGAAAAACCATGCTTAGCACGAGAGGTCGAAGCTAGCTGGGAAATCTCCCGGACGATAAAAAAATAATCATCCAGATATTGACCTTCAACCCCTCAGGGACTGGGGAAGGGTTTTATTCCACTTTTTAGACATGACACGAGTTTTTATACTGTAACCAATCACAATCGAAGAAATTTCAATTTTCAATGATTGAGAGGTTTATATCAAACATAATAACCGGGCATTATATATATATATATATATTTTTTTTTTATCGTGTTCAGAGCTTCACACAAGTCAAGAACTATATTACGCTTTTAGCACCCATAAGCTCCTTTTCCTTCGGGTTTTCAGTCGACTCAAATCTCGATATCAGCAACGTCATGTGCCCTTTGCAAGAAAACGTTGCCGTTGTGGCGGACCAGGGCAGGTTATGTAAGGGCTCTTTTCATACCGCATGCAGTTTACAATTAGGGGGCTAAAATAATCGTCATTCCATACAGAGGGGGTTGTCCTACCATATCGAAGGTCTCTGTGTCAGGAAGTCCACTGAACTCACACGATCAACAACCTCGCTAAGAGGTTGAGACTGGACATTGCATGTTTAAAGACCAATGGTATCTATGTTCTCTCAGTAATACAATGCCGATGCCTCGCGTGCAGATTTGCTCGATTGTTCGTGACAAAATACTGTAAACGAATAATAGCTATGACTCATGTTTGTTGTATTTAGCTAATTGTTGAGAGAGGATTGTCCGTTCATTTTTCTAGTTTTTAATTTAATCCTTACCGGCCTTACGCCTAACCATGGTAAGAATTCTCCATTTTACTACCTCAAGATAAAATAAAAATCTGAAATAAAAGGAATGACAAAAATACAGATAAAATGCATCATTTTACGCGACAGCGCACTTACAGTCTAGAGAGTCAGAGCTATGGCTAGGAAACGTGATGAAGTGATTCATTGCTTTAAGACGACGAATCTACAACTAAAGGGCGCCTAAAAACTTCAAAACAATTTTATAGCTTTTATAGCTAAAAACTACATGGTTATAAATAGTTTATAGTGAAAACTGCTGTACTTTAAATGGAGAATTCTTACCATGGTTACGTGTGACCATGGTAAGAATTCTCCATTTTACTCCCTCAAGATAAATAAAGAATAAAGTTAAAATTCATCATTCTACGCAACAGCACATTTAAAGTCTCGACAGTCAGAATCATAGCTAGGAAACGTAATAAAGTAATTCATTGTTTTAAGACGACGAAACTACAGGTAAAGGGCGCCTAAAATCTATAAAAACTATAGTATTGTGATGTAGACCCCATAGAGACTGTTTTCTTTAAAGCTTGACTTGTCCATTTCACTTTTGTATTTTTGACGGTTACGGCGAAAGCCAACTGCTGTATTACTAAACCATTTCGGTTTGTACTAAACCTTTCGTCGTCACGCTAAACCATTTCACTCAACGGTGAGTAGATTGATGCGATACTAAGCCATTGCGGCCTACTATCAACCATTTGCCGACAGCTTTAGGCATTTCACGCTGAACCGTTTGTCATTTCGGCACTGAGTTGAGTAACTTGTGCAAGCCAGCGGACAAGTTTTAATCCTTAGCAGGGAAGGTTCCTTTATATGAGCTGGTAGTTTAAAAAGCGCTCGTATTCTTTCGCCGAGTCAGAAAAAGTGTAATTATAACATAGCTAGTGAATTTGTCTAATCAAATTCAATTGCGCGAGCGTGCTTCATATTCCTTTTGTGCACGCTCATGACGTCAGCAAACAAATCCCTCGGGCAAAAAAAATTTCCAACGGTTGAAAATGTTATAAAACAATTGGCTCATATGTCAGCTGTGCGTTCATCGAGATATGAAGCACGCGGGAAGTTTGGAGAGCACTCAGGAAGCTAGATTTAGCTTTTAGAGTCTAGCTTCTTGAGTGCTCTCTAAACTTCCCGCGTGCTTCATATCTCGATGAACGCACGCTGATGTATGAACCAATTGTTAATTAACAAAACCCTAAATTCACAATCAAAACTACTTGTTGCATCAAAAAAGGGAAAGCGCGACATTTGTCATCTGTTTTTCTTTCTCTCAAATTACAGAATGAGAGGACATCTAGTTGGTTTCCATTTCTGCCCCATTCTGTTGAGTGGTGTTGCTTTGTTTTTTGTGGCTTTCAGTTCGTCTTTGCACACTGACTTAAGCACGGACGAGGTTTTCGAGAGAGTTGAAGGTAACACGTGAATGTGTTATACCTCTGTTATAACACCGTGATATTTTTTTTCCAACGTTTTATACACTTCCGATCCCCCTTTATACTCTGTTGGCCACAACAAATCCCTCTAAAAAAACATGGGATTGCTCCAAAATCGGGGGAAAACAACGGCAACTCTCATAACTCTCAGGGCTTCTTCATATTCACCTTTGTACGATATCAAGAATCAAGATGACCTTTTCGGACAGAGTAAACAACTACACACAAACTGTATTATGAAAGTATCCAAAGTAAACTGTATGATGATAAAACGAAACAAGTCCGGAAAACTTGAAGAGTAACCCACGTTTCACTTATTATGGAAGAGGTGCTGTTGATTAAGGTGCTTAACCTTTGGAACAAGTCACATTTTTATCACCTGGGTAGGGGAGGGGGGAGGGGGAAGGAAAGGTCATAGCATTTTGGTTGTCACAATAAATCGAGTGAGTCAATTTTCTTTGGTCCCAACTTTAAACTCTGTCAGCGACGACTGATCCTATCTCCGTTCCCTTTGAAAACCAGGAGACCCCCACACCCCCCCCCCCACCCGCAAGACCTGCCTACTCCTCCCACCCCTCTTTCCAAGCGAAAAATGGTGACCTATTCCTTACTTCTGCTCAGCGCTTTTCAGAGAATATAAAGTTAATGTTCTCATGCCTTTCCTTATAACTTTTCCATTTTCTTAACTTGAGATTGAAGGATGCTATGGATCCTACAAATATTTCCAAAATCAAAAGCTATCTAATGATCACGCGAAAGGAACTACTTTTGGAATAAAACCTATGTGGGGTGTTTTGTTTCTAAGTTTGATCCTCTCCTAGTTCCAAATGATTATTCTTCCTTCTTCCGATGTAGATAAACGAGGCTGGGATTCTGCTCATCCGGCCTTCTCCTGTTAAGAAATTCTGGACTCAAGACACTCCACAGGAGACGGGGAGTATTGGATCGACCTCGAGAAAAGTGGAAACCCTTTGAGGATCTATTGTGACATGTCAAGATATGGTGGTAAGTGAATAAGTCTTTTTTTGAGACACGAGGACTTTAACCGGAGTATATTTGACTTGGAGCAGTTTCTATTAGAACATTCTGGTCTTGGCTATTCGTCCTTTCTCTACGAAGATCCTTGTTATGTTTTTTAATCGAAACTGTAAAAAAATTCTCGAACGTGTTTAGTTATCAAGAGCCTGCCTATTTGAGCACAACAGGGCAGCATGCGCGTCATGCCTGGAATTTGACAGTGTAATAGGACCGTCAAAGGGACAGTTAACACGTCATGTCGTATGAGCGGACAGAACGCGTCATGTGCGGGCGCTGTTGTCTCGCATTTCGCCGAGTAAAGTGTTGTTTTTCGTTTTTATGAAAACGTATAACTAATATCTAGTTTCTTTCTCAAATTTTGTCTTTGTTTTGATTAATTGGTAAGTGTCCTTCTTGTCGTCCAATTCTGTCTTTAATCATACTCGTGATTAAAAAAGTCGGACTCCCGCTTCGCGGTCGTACGATTTTGGTAATCATTCGTATCGATTACAGACCAAATTGGACTCCACTTAGTCAGGTTACCATTATTCATATGTAAATAATTCTAGTTACATGAATGTTACCAGATCACTTAGGTTTGCTTTATTTTAGGAGGTTGGCTTCTAGTGTCGAATGTTAAGTTCGGAAGCCCCTCTCCTAAGGTGTCAGTTGAGACATCATACCGTGGAATAGGTAGGTCACAGATGGTTCTGCAGAAACGTGCCATGAAAGACACTTGTTCTTCACTCAGCTGAGACTGACTTCCACTGCCACAAGAAACAGGGACGCAAGTTCCACATGGTCACAGCTTCCAACAGCTCTGGTGAACCTGTAGTCCAGTACTTCAGCGGTCAGACAGATGAGCAACCGGATGCCTGTGGTTCGTTTGTGAGATTGAAGTAGGATGACAATTCCAAGTTAGCTGGCATTTGCAAAGATTGGGGACTAGTAAGTGGAAAGTACTTTGTTGGAAAGTGGGGACATGGAGAAGATGAAGACAGGTTATACCGGTTTCCCGCCTTCGGACAACCAAGTATCATCTTAAGGTCCACTTGAATAACGTTGGTGACCTC